ATTACGGAATTTCAATATTTACTATCTTATGTCATAAATCCATCATACATGCAAAGTTGTAAACCTTTTGCTATATGTTAGGATACAATAACCTTTGCATTGTTCTTTATGCAGTATCCCATTTATAAGATTTAGGGTTTAATCACTTTTTAAAAAAACTTCGTAAAACCGTCGTAATATAATCATAACTTTACGACGGTTTTACGACTAAGTTCCCTAAAACCGTCGTTGAACCGTCGTAACGTTTGCACCGGATAGGCTCTTGATCCGAGGTACGAGGTTATAAATTTATGCAATATCCCATTTATAAGATTTAGGGTTTAATCACTTTTTAAAAAAACTTCGTAAAACCGTCGTAATATAATCGTAACTTTACGACGGTTTTACGACTAAGTTCCCTAAAACCGTCGTTGAACCCTCGTAACGTTTGCACCGGATAGGCTCTTGATCCGAGGTACGAGGTTATAAATGTTTAGACGTTACGACGATTTTACGACGGTTTTGGGTAAAATCATCGTAAAACCGTCGTAACGGTCAAATCACGACACGTGTCATGTCATGCAGTGGACCGACTGTTATACAACCGAATCGTTGTAAAATCGTCGCAAAGTTACGACGATTTTACGACGATCACAAAATCTATATAAGGGACGCGAGTTTTCCCCCTTTCGTCGCTCATTCCTCTCTTCTCCCCTCTCTCTCTATAAAACTTTCTCTCTCTAAACCCTAAACCTCTCCCTCTCTCCCTACTCTCCCAGCCAATACTTGTAAGTTTTTTTTTTTAATTAAGTTCATTACACATTCTTTTAGATTTAGGTTCGAAATTTAGATTTAGGTTCGGAATTTAGATTTAGGTTTCGGAATTTAGATAGGCCCGGATTTGGTAAATTTAAATAAATATTTGAAAAATTAGTAACAAATTTTTTAAAATTTTTTTGTAGATTCTGTTGATATAGCTCCTCAGGCTAAGAGATTTCACTACCGACAGCTGGTCGATTCTGACGGTTCGGCCCCGTCTACCTCGGCGACCAGATCAGCCATCCCGGAGTCCTCGGGAACACAACGGACAGTTTCTCAACCGGTCGTTGTACCGCAGCCGGCACCGCCTCCACCACCACCAGCCGAACCAGCGGCTCCCGCACCGACCGATCCTGAAGCTGATCCGATCCCGCCTGTACCGTATGCCCAATTTACGGTACAGGATCTTTTGGCACAGCCGGGTCGTGAGACCATGAACAAACTCGACCCGGATCGAGCTCCGGGAACATTTTGGTACATATTTTTTTCCTACAATATTTTTTAATTAATTAATATTTATTCTTATATATTTGAAATTAATTTACTTTTCTCTTTCTATTTGACTAGGTTTACGACCGACAATGCAGTCAGTCGTAATGTTGCGGATATCATCAAGGGGTTTTTCGTACAACCCCATACCAGCTGGAAGATGCTGGATCAGGCCACACTTGACACTTGGTTCAAGTGTTTTGCGGTAAGTAATTTACAATTTTGTTTAATTTTAATTTTTAATTTTAACTTTTTACAATAATTACTAACTTTTTTTTTCCCTAGCAAAACTGGCATTGGGAAACATCCGCACACGGACGTGTGGAGACGGCCTTCAAGGAGAAGGTCAAATTCCGCCTCAACAACACTGTTTCCGACTGGAAACGGAAGTGGGAGGTTGACGGCGACAAGGCCAAGCCGGCGCCTATGGCCAATTCCATCTGGCGAGGCCTTGTCCAGTACTGGTTGGATCCGCACAACCAGACTACGGCCGCCAAGTGTTCCGGATCTAGGTAAGTAGTTAATTCTATTAATATTTACATTATTTGTTTTTATTAATTCTTATAATATATTCTAATGAAAATATTTTTCAGGAATGTTACTGACGATGCGGGAAATCGGAAGAACGTTCCGCACACTTCCGGCCAGATTCCTTTTGTCGGAAGACGGCTTATGATGGTAAGTAAATTAAAATTACTTTTGTTTTCAAATAATTAACCCTTATTTGTCGATATTAATTTTTTCATTTTGATTTTGTAGGTCGAAGATAACGGAGGAGAACTTCCTCCGATGACAAAGGTTTTCGCCGAGACGCATAAGAAGCGGAACGGCGAATTCACGGATCCTCGGGCGGAGGAGATCTACAACGCCGCCTGTGCGGCGATCGAGGAGCGACAGATGCAGCTGACTCAGCAGGCGCGTCAAACGTCTCCCGGAGGTAGCTCGGTCCAATCGACCTCGGCGCTGACGGTGGCGGAGATGGACCAGATTTTCGAAGAGGTAAATTTAATTACTATATTTAATTAATGTAACTTTAGTTATAAATTGAATTTCTAACCATAATTTTTTTAAATATTTGTAGGTTGCCCCAAAGAAAAAGGGGCGGGTATTAGGGATTGGGTCCATCCGTGATACCCCGAGAGCTACGGCGACTGGTCACGTCTGGGTCTCGGATCCGGTTATCCGCCAAGAGATCGATCAGATGCGGACCCGTTATGAGACGAGGATCGACCAGCTTTACGGTCTCTTCGAGATCATGGGAGCCGACAACCCGGTGCTCATGGCGCAGTTGGACAAGCTGCAGGCTGATGGGGTTGTCGGATCGTCTGCCGTCGGGTCATCCACTAAGACGCAACCGCCGGTGCAGACGGACGAGGAGATGTTCCGATCTCTCGGGGTTGAGCCTCCTAGAGCCGGAGATCAGGCGCCGGCGGAAGCATCAAACCGAAGACCCGGCAAGAAACACGTCCAGGACGATAGGGAGCAGGCCGGTGACGGGATCGACGATATAGATTTAGAATTAGATTTAGAGCTGTAGGGTTTTTTGTAAATTACAATTAATTTTAATTTGAAATTTTAATAAATTTTAAATTGTAAATTTTGTTTTTAATTTAAATTTTAATTCGAATTATTTTTTTTTTAATTTTCAATTATATTAAACGTCGTATAATCGACGTAATATCTTTATTTAAAACCGTCGTACATTCGTCGTAAATATTACGACGAATTTACGACCAAAATGTACGACCACAAATACGACGATTATACGTTCGCGCTTTACGATGATTTTACGACGAAATGATTAAATACTTTACGATTGATTTACGACGATTTTTGCGTCATACATTTTACGACGATCTTACGTCGACCATTAACGACCACTTAACGACGGTCCAGGCGAAGACCAAGTCGACGCAATTCGATGTAAAATCGTCGTAAACTGTACGACGCATTTACGATGATTTCGTTTCCCTTGATGTTACGACGAAACGAAACCGTCGTATATTATACGACGATTTTACGACGATTTGTCTATTACGACGATGAATTTACGACGATTTCGTAATCGTCGGTAATTCGTCGTAATAGCCCTATTACGACGAAATAACGACCATTTTGGCCGTCGTAAAATGATGTTTTTCTTGTAGTGCGATATACTTTCAGTTGATAAATAATTAATATATACGTATATATATACTTTAAATACCAAGAAAATAATTGGGTAGGTGGAACCGTGCAACGATGCAAGAATGTTAGACCATCTTCAAAGGCAGGTTTTTAGAAAAAGCTCTTCACATTGTATATATATATAATAATAATTAAATATTATAGAGATTTTTAAAAAAAGAGAGAAAGTATCTAAAAATTTTTGTTTCAGAATCCTTCTCTCTTGTTTCAGAACTTTTCTCTTCTTTGTTTACATGATTTCATTTTATATTATTGTTTTAAAAACTCTTACACTATTCTTAACAACCTATGAGATGAGATGGTCTTATACTACTTCAAACTTGATATTTGCTTCTTTAACGTAAGACCAAAGACTAAACACTTGGTTTCTTCATTGTCTCATAGATTGTGAGGGCAAAGTATAAATAAACGTTTTCTTAAATAATCATTTTAGGTTTAAAAAATAAAATTCTTACAAGTATATTCATGAGTTAGTGGTTTATGAATCATACACCAAAAATATAACACACGGCAAGTAGTCCGTTTTTACTTACTACTAGGTGATTACCCGCACTATGTGCAGAGTAAATATTAACCATAATTCTTGTAATCGAATATACAAATATAATATATATAAATACAACTATAAAAATGTTTGCTGATATTCATAATTACAAATATATATGATGGTTATGCAATTGTAAATAATATTTAAAGTCATATTTATTTTATAATATAATTGCATAAATGCTAGATAGTTATTAGTTTTATAATTAATTTTAGTAGTATTTTTTAGATGAATAAAATTACGTATTAAATATACTAAATTAGATTAATATGTTTTATTTAACTGGTCTAACATCAGACTATGATATTTTGCTTTGATATAAAAAAATGTGAATTATAATATGAATGAAAAAATTTAGATTTTCTTATTATTAAATATATAATATGATTATTTTTTTACAAAATTAAGATTAAAGAAAGATGAGATAAGAAAATATTTTTTAGTAAAAATATTGTTTAGTAACATAAGTAATATTATGTATTAAATTTTTATAAATATGTTGATAAGAAATAGAAAGAGGGAGAATATATTTTCAAATTAAATGTTTGAGTATTAAATATATATTTGATATAAACTAATCTCTTACCAAATTAATATTAGTAGTATATGATATAATTAATCTAGTAAATTGAATCTAATTTTAAAAAATATTTTAGAAGCATTCTGAGATTGACACATCAGCATGACAAACTTGTTAATAACACATGATATAAAGGTTTTTTTTTAAGTGTACTTTTCAAATAATAATAGAAGATATTCAAACTTGAGAGCAAATAATTCAAAACTTTAGACAAAAATACCCATATCATACAAGCCCCTATTCCGTAATATTAAAGGGTAATTAAGTAATTTAGATAAATCTGAAATCTGTTTGTCGTTACCCTTTCCCTCCTCTGTTCTCAACCTCCTCAAAATCTCCTTATAAATTCTCTTCTTCTACCTCTTCCATTTTCCCAAGAAACTCTTTTTTATCTCTTCTCTCTCTCTCTCATACAGAGAAAAATCTCAAACCCACCTCGGGATCATCGTTTTCATCAATCACCCACTAAAAAAACAATGATCTCTTCAATTAAACCGGCTTCATCTTCCTTCTCCACCGTCTTCACCGGCGTTAGGCGGTCAATTCCGACGAATCTCCGGTTCTCTCCATTAAACATCATAAGAAACTCCAACAACCAAAGCTTCAACAACTCCAATGTCTCTCACCAAAAGCCTCTGTACATTTCTTCTTCTCAGAATTTCAAGCGTGAAGTCAGAGTCGAAGCTTACGAGGCCGATCGATCTCGTCCACTCGACATCAACATCGAGCTTCCCGACGAACAATCGGCGCAGAAGCTAAAAATCGGAATCTATTTCGCGACTTGGTGGGCACTTAACGTTGTCTTCAACATCTACAACAAGAAAGTGCTCAATGCTTTTCCTTACCCGTGGCTAACTTCGACCTTGTCTCTCGCTTGTGGGTCTCTTATGATGCTCGTCTCTTGGGCCACTAGAATCGCCGAAGCTCCTAAAACTGATCTCGATTTCTGGAAAACTCTTTTCCCGGTAAGAAACTAGGGTTTTTTCATGAAGTGGCGAAATTCTGGAAAAGTATCAATCTTTTTCTGAAAATTAAGAGTTCGATTACTTTAAAAATCTGTATTTCTGAGTAATAATTTAGGGTTTTGTGATTCTTTATCTTGATGGGTTTTATTCTCCACTGATTGCAAAACCCTTTTGATAAAACTAATCTCGAAATCTGAAAAACTCTGTTTTTATTGTGATAATTTAGGCTAGCTCTGTTTCCGGTAAGAAATCAGGGTTTTTCATGAAGATGAACTTAGGGGTTTTCGTAAGGTTGTTGCTTGATGGGGAAATTTAGATCTCATGACTCTATTGCTTGATAGATTTATGTGAAAGTTTCTGACAAATTTCGAGGCTATCTAATGATTTCGAGCACGAAACAGAGACTGTTAAATTGAAAAACCAGAACGTTGTTGGTTGTCTGATAAAAGAAGTGTGTGTTTTGATGTTCCTTCTGTTCAGGTCGCTGTGGCACACACGATAGGACACGTGGCAGCAACAGTGAGTATGTCAAAAGTAGCAGTTTCCTTCACACACATCATAAAAAGTGGTGAACCAGCTTTCAGTGTATTGGTCTCAAGATTCTTCTTGGGAGAGACTTTCCCTCTTCCTGTTTATCTCTCTCTCTTACCAATCATCGGAGGCTGCGCTCTCGCCGCTGTCACCGAGCTTAACTTCAACTTAATCGGTATATACAAACTCACAATCCTTCAACAACAAGTAGAGTTTTTATAATCTCACATTGCTTGGTTCTTGTGTGACATTTCCTTGATTAGGGTTTCATGGTTTTTGGCAGGGTTTATGGGAGCGATGATATCGAATTTGGCGTTTGTGTTTCGGAACATCTTTTCCAAGAAAGGCATGAAAGGGAAATCACTTAGTGGAATGAACTACTATGCTTGCTTATCGATGATGTCTCTTTTGATTCTCACTCCCTTTGCAATCGCTATAGAAGGTCCTACAATGTGGGCTGCTGGTTGGGAAAATGCTGTTTCTCAGATCGGACCAAACTTTGTCTGGTACGAACTAAAACCAAATCAAGAAAATCTTTTTTGTGTTTGGTTCCATATTGGATCTAACTTATGCAGGAAGTTTGATGTTTGTTTTGTGTTTGTTTTTTTTGGAATATCAACAGGTGGGTAGTAGCACAGAGTGTGTTCTACCATTTGTATAATCAGGTCTCATACATGTCTTTAGACCAGATTTCTCCATTGACTTTCAGTATTGGTAATACGATGAAGAGGATCTCTGTCATTGTGGCTTCGATAATCATTTTTCACACTCCGATTCAACCTGTCAATGCCCTCGGTGCTGCCATTGCGATTCTTGGAACTTTCCTCTACTCACAGGTAAACATAAACAAAACTTTCTTCTTTTTTTTTTAGTTGCCAAATAACTTGATGTGATTAAGAGGACTATACTTGGTTCTTGAATGATATATATAATCAATAGCGAAAATCGGTTTCTTTAGCTCTAAGAATATTAACCTTTGTGATTTGTTTCTTTGCAATCCGTGAGCAGGCTAAGATGTGAGGATGGCTTATGAGGATATCTTTTTGGGGTAGATTTTGATAAAGATTAGATAACATGAGTAACCGGAGAGGAGAGAATTTTCTGGTGAGATCAACATGGGAAAGTGCTTTTCGCGGTAATTGGATATGAGGAAACTGGAGCTTGAAGTTGATAATCACATCAGAGGGTTTTGCTTGTTTCTTACATCGTGTGTGTAGTGTTCTATATCACAAGAGCGACTAAATATTTCTATATCATAAGTATAGTTTTCTCCATGCATTATGAATAACATCAATTCTTCTTAACTTACCATGAAGATGCGATTTAGAGAGTTGCTTGCTAGGAAGATAATAGTTTATAAAGAAAATAAACATAGCTTAGAGCCACCATTGCTTAATGTAAAGAGTAAACAAGGCAATGGATAATATCCACAAAGATGAAAACACCATCACAAAAAAAAAAAAAGAGAAAAAAAAATTGTTATCCTACAAGATCCTGTGTTGCCATGATGGACATGGACAATACGCAATACCTTGAATTGTATATCAATCGGATCATACCCCAAAAAATTCCTCACACTATTTACTTTGGGTAAGACTAAGGAATCTCTTGTGCTATGGTTACATATCACTGGTACTATACGATCCACATGTCAATAACATAGACAAAGCCATGGATAGGAGCAGAGATTTCATAGGAATCATCAAAGTAGAATTCCGATTTCATATAATTATTGGGGGCTACAGGAGACGAATTGATATCCGGAGTTTGAAGCTAGGGTGACGAAAAGAAGAACAACTTAGTGTCATTTTAGCCCAAGAACTTGGTCAAGAACAGCTCAAGACTTTTGGTCAAGAATAACTCCGTGAAATATGGGCAGAGAAGTGTGGGCTTTGCCCAAGACTTGGTCAAGAACAACTCCTTGAAATATAGATGGAGGAGAAGTATAAGGCTTACTATCTAAAACCAAAAACCAAATAACTCGAACCGGACCAAACCGAATAACCAAATGTCCATCTCTAAATTCAAGAGTATTGGATACACATATAGGCATAGATTAAGCATAAAACCAAAATAATAATTATAGGAAGAGCTCAATTACAATATAAGACATCTCTTCTCGTCTAGTCATCATCGTTTTCTATTGAAAGAGATATGGAAAGACAAACTTTACTCACATATTCTCTCTTCTTTAACCATTCGGTTAAGAAAGGAACATACCAACTCCCAACTAGACAACGAAATGTCCCTCTTTTTGTCTTTTCTTCTTATTTTGTTGTATAATGTCTTAAGATAATTGGCGAAATACAATAGAATAGAGAAGTATTTTAAATTTTAAACAAAATAATTTATTCTTTGTATATGAACAAAGATAAATTAATCCTGATGACTATAATACTTTATGAAAAACAACCGAATTAATATGGGCGATAAAAATGAAAATAAGAAAAACCATGCACTTTGACAAAACCGAAACTCGGTTTACAACTAAGTTGAAATGCATATAGTGTTATAAGCTAATAATCTTTAACCGTGGATTTGATAATTTCGATGGCATGATAGATTCTTTCATAACTTTTTAACAACGTAAATCAATCATCTCGTCGGTAACGAATTATAGTCCGTAGTTTCACATTTTTGTAGATAATTATCTGTGGATATTGAATACGATTAACTTTTATATTTGGTCACTTATCTAACGTTATAATTTTAGTTAATATTTATGATGTTTTAAATTTTTATTTGACTAAAATTTTCGATCAATTTAGATTTTTTTATAGTTTATAATATTTTTTTTATAACGTTAAAATATTTCTAATATTTCACTTTCTGATAACCTTTTGATCAATGGCATTTTTACATAAAAAGTTTTTTTTATCAAATTAAAGAACCAGATTAATCTGAAACAATTATCCAAAAAACGTGATCTGTTGAATATTTCCTGCTTCTCATTATCTTTCAATGTGTCTGCAAATGTGCAAATAATATCATCCATATACTGAAGTATCAAGCATTCACTCTTCTCCCATTGCGTAACGATTTCTGCTGCATTAATTTTTTTACCAAATTCTTATTCACTGATTAACTTTGAAAACTTTTGCAATTAGAAAATTACTCATACATGTCTTTTTCTAATTTAAAGAAAACAGTTGTACGTACATTCAATATTTATGAACAAATTACCATCTACAACGTCTAATCTAGCATTTATATGCAAAACTTTAAGTTCTTAAATTAGCTATTTCTTGTACCGTTATAGAAGTCTTATATTCTAAAGAGACTATAAAATTAAAGGAAACAATATCATTAAGTACGTAATCATGGGGTGTATTTTAGAGGCTTAGAGTTGGTAAACTAGGTAACACCATTAGCTATTTAATTAATTCGAAATGAGTCGTTAAACAGTATAAAGAAAAGGACACACGAACAAATGATCACATAAATAAATATAAGCAAAATGGGATTGGACTCAACAATTACATATTCAGAAATGGTTGCGTGGTTGATGAATTCCTTTCGTTTCTTAACGAAAAGGTCGTGTCTAAGTAAATTGAAGTCAATTTTTTTTGCCATATTATTATATAGACTATAATACTTTTCTTTTTGGTTAGGAAACTCGATTTATTGAGTATCATGAATAGAATTGTTCAAAGGGCCAAAATTATTTTTGTTTTCTTTGCAATAGAGTCTGCCATAGCATTGGCTAAAGGTGGAATAAAACAAAAACGAAATCGAGTGAAACAAAGATCCTAAAAACATCATCAATAATAGCATGAAGTAGTCATGAAAATTACTTATCAACTTCAAAGCTAAGAAATTTTAAAATCAGATTTTATTTTAAATTATGGTATGATTTCCATCGTTGATATCTCTTTGAATATTTCTCTTAATTAATCTCCATATAGCATAGATTCCTAGAAAAGAAGAGAGAGATACTATAATCAAGAACGAAACAGCAACAGAGAGAGTTGAAAAAGAAGATGCATTTTCCCATATTTATTAGGATTATAACTTTTTTGCTCTTATCTTTCATCTTTCTTGCAGTATACGCAACCTTGTTCTACGACGTTTGTTCAGAGACTGGAAACATCAAAAGAAGTAAGTTGAGATACGACAATGGCTGTGAAGCTAGGAGCAGCCAAGTCATCAACCCTATCTTCAGCCGCCACATCACCACCAACCTCTTTACCAAACCGGTCAACTTTCTCCGCCGCACCACCACTTCGTATTCCAAATCGTAAGTTTTACTTTTACTTTTATTAATATTTTTCACTTGTATTTAGATCCTTACTATGTTGCAAAGGAATTGAGACGAAGTTTTTAAGATATTGTTATGAATTAGTCGCTGATTTTAATTTTGTGAGAACGTTGTAAATTTTCGATGTATTTGTCGTTTAGAACGGATTTCAAATTATTTAATTCCGTAGAGTATGGCTATTCCAATTAAATTAGTGGTTAGAATTAAGAAACAAATTTCGACAAAAAAAAAAGAATTGAGAAAAAAAATTATGGTCCTTCCAAATCTGTTGAAGTAACTTTAAAATGTATCAAATGCATTAAGTAAATTTTATATAACTATTCCTTAAAAAACTACAAACTTGGTAGCTCTAAGCCTCTAACAATATGGCTCTAACATGGCTCTAACAAAAAAAAAAGTTGATGGTTCGAATCCACTGCATAGTCTTTTGTGTTCAAAACCGGTCTAGCCGTAAGGAAATATTAAACATTAAGGTGTTGAATTGTATAAATTGCTCCATAACGTTGAAATTACAATAATCTGTTTTCGCAAACTCTCACACCAAGACTTGCACCCGTTATTTTTAAATTATTCAAATCAACTAATGGACATTTTGTTGGTAGAAAGTTGATAACAATACTTAATTAATGAGCACTTTATCACGTTACAATGAGAAGACATTTTACATTTGGTGAAACATTTTTAAATATACATTTTGATATTTTTAAAATAATAAATCTTATATATATATAACTTAATTATAGATTCAGATTAACAGAGTTAAAATGAGTCGTTAGTTGTTAGGCACACGTTAATATTTTAAGTTTATGATTTCTTAATTAGGAACTTTATGATGTGCACATATACTTTTTAGTTATAATATATCGAAAAATATGAAAAAGGCTATATAGTATATATTTGTAAACAATTGGTGTATAGTATGATATTTAATATTTTTGAATATGTTCATTAGTTGAAATTGGATACTTCTTAATTATTAGATAAGACTACCAAATCTCAATCATGCATCCAAAATATTCTACACATTTTTCATATAAATACAGGCACATATAGATAAAGCTAGCGTACACCAAACCCAGAAGATAAACACAAGAGAAAAAAAATGAAAAGTTATGCCAACTTCGTAACTCTCTTTTTATTACAAAGCTTATTGTTTCCTCTTTACAGTTTATCTATCCATCAAACTTCTTCAGATGATTCAACATCTCCATTTCCTTCTGATTTCTTCTTCGGCACAGCTTCTTCTGCTTACCAGGTACTTCCCTTTTCTTCTTTCTTCAATTTGGAGTCAAATTTTGAAATCCTAATCTTTTGTTTTCTTAATTTATTTTCATAAAATGTTTTATTTATTTATTTATTATGTATTCAGTATGAAGGTGCGTTCTCAACCGATGGAAAAGGTTTGAACAATTGGGATGTCTTTACCCATGAGAATCCTGGTATGTGTTTATTTTGGATTCGTTTTGGGTTAGTTCGGTTTAAAAATTAATCATGATGAGAACGTAAAAATTGAACTATATTGGCCACTGATTTTTATGTGGTTTTCTTTTTGTGAAATTTGTTTTGGTTAAGATTAGCTACACGAACATATATTTGAAAAAAATGAAAGTTGCGGTTTAGTTCTTGGTTCAAATTTGGTTCGATTTCTCATGTGTGTTTCTATATTAATTTTGTATCTATATACGCACGTAGATATACACAGCATACTTAAAAATTATTGACAGTTTTCCAACTTTATTCGATTTTTTTTTTGTCGGCAAGTTATCACTTTTAAAATGAGTTATCCTATCCCATTATTCCTTTGACAATATTTTGTGGTAAAATGCAGAGAAAATAATTAAAGAGGGCAATGGAGATATAGCTGTTGATCAATATCATCTTTTCATGGTTCAATAACTTTCTTCTTATAATTTGCGACTTTTTTGTTTGTTTATTTTATATTGTGAAGAACGTGACTAACTTTACTATTTAAAATTATCCACTATATATATGCTAATTCTTTTTAAACTACAGAAGGATATCCAATCAATGACTTACCTTGGCGTCAACAGTTACAGATTATCAATTTCTTGGTCTAGAGTCCTGCCAAGTAAGTCTTTACTTTCATAATCAAGAATGAGTCTAATAATTGAATTCTGTTACTTGTTTGGTATTACAAAAAAACACTTTCCATCTAATGACATAAACAATAAACAAACTGTATTGGGTTTGAAAATACAGAGGGGAGAAATGGAGGCATTAATCATTTGGGAATAAAGCATTACAACAGGCTAATCGACGCGCTCATTAGAAATGGTAATTAATTTACCCTCTCTTGACTTAAATCTATATTTATTATTTATTGATGAAATTGAAACAGAGGAGTTAGTACTAATGATCATGTATATGTCACCAGGGATTACTCCATTTGTGACGTTGAACCATTTTGACTATCCTCAAGAACTCGAGAACCGGTTTAAAAGTTGGTTAAGCTCCGAGATGCAGTGAGTAATTAAAGCATCTAACCGAATAACCATATACAGAACTAACTAAAACTAACTCTTCACTTCTTTTTACTAGGAAAGAATTCGGGTACTTGGCTGATCTATGTTTCAAACATTTTGGAGACCGAGTCAAACACTGGATCACGATAAACGAACCAAATCAACAAATAATCTTAAGCTATCTAAAAGGTATATTTCCACCTTCTCGCTGCTCCATGCCGTATGGAAACTGTAGCCAAGGGAACTCCAACACTGAGCCTTTTATAGCTGCGCATAACACGATCCTCGCACATGCAAAGGCTGTTCAAATATACCGAACCAAATATCAGGTAACACAACCAAAATATAACTATCTATATGGTTTTAACTGATAACTATTCTACCTATTATTATTATATCGGTGTAAATACATTGTGTTTGTAGAAAGAACAAAAAGGAATCATTGGCATTGTGGTACAAACATCATGGTTTGAACCAGTAAGCAATTCCATCGCGGATAAAAAAGCTGCAGAGAGAGCTCAATCATTTTATTCGAATTGGTATGTTATGCGTTATTCTTAGACAAACAAAAAAATTCAAATATGAGTATGTAAAATTTACACTCATGTTTCTTCGTTTAATGTGAACTGAAATACCAGGATTTTAGATCCTGTTGTATATGGGAGATATCCTCAAGAAATGGTGGATATACTTGGATCAGCTTTGCCGCGATTTTCGAGCAACGAAATGATGAACCTAAAGAGATATAAATCAGATTTTTTGGGTATTAATCACTATACAAGTTACTTCATCCAAGATTGTATGACCTCTGCTTGTAATTCTGGAGATGGAGCTTCTAAAAGTGAAGGATTCGCGCTTAAATTAGACCGGAATGGCAATGTTTCAATCGGAGAACTTGTAAGTATATTTGTATATGTACTTTCAACTTTTTTCTTTCTTGAACTCCCTAGTAATTATACTGTTTTATAACGTTATTTTACAAATGCTTGATTTTTCACGCTTTATAGACCGACGTAAGTTGGCTGCACATCGACCCTGAAGGATTTCGAAAGATGTTGAATTATCTAAAGGATAGATACCCAAATATACCAATGTTCATCACAGAAAACGGTACAATGCCTCAAGATTTTTGGTTATGTCCATTTTTTTTGTTGAGAATGTATATATTTTGAACGGTTGCTATCGATGTTTTGCAGGTTATGGAGACTTGCAAAAACCAGAGACGACAGTTAAAGAACTTCTAAATGATACAAGAAGGATACACTACATGAGTGGATATTTAGATGCTTTGAAAGACGCAATGAGGTAATGTGAATTGGATATTAGTGCTATATTTAGTCAGGCTTTAAACCACAATTGATACATTTTCAAGGGAACTTAATCATATATATTGAAATGCAAAACAATACCAATTACTAAGAATAAAAGCTAATTGTAAATTCTTTTGTAGGGATGGAGCAAATGTGAAGGGCTATTTCGCATGGTCGCTATTAGATAATTTCGAGTGGTTGTACGGATACACGCTTCGATTTGGGCTATATCACGTGGATTATACAACTCTCAAAAGAACACCAAAGCAATCAGCTTTATGGTACAAGAATTTCATTGAACAGCACGTGATGAATTCAGGAGATCTCACAGACAAATATTAAATACATTTACTAAGAATTGGTATATTAGCATACTCCTAATCGAAGTAAGTCAAAAATAGGAAGGCTTAGCTAAAATTCTTCTCATTGTTGATTGTATTTGAAATGTGTCTTGTATTTCTTCTACATGATTATTTTCCTAGTCTTACATAAAAAAGATTATTGCAAAGATAAATGTATATGAATATTTGAGTATAGATATATTATATGGGAATGCTTGAATTATCTGTATATTTGAATAGGTCGGAATCAAGAATCAAAATTAGAAAAGGTTGCTATATTGCCCTTTATCCAAAAAGGTTACTATATTGCCTAGTTGATTTCTCATGCTGACTCCGATGGTAATTTTTTATCAAAATATTCTATCATGGCGTCCCTCTCATATTTTGAAGAAAAACAGGAATAATGCGACTGACTCTCAAACTGGAAAAGAATTATTGAAAGCATTTTGATTAGCAAAATGTGTATATTACGCACCGAATATAATGAGAGTTTATTTCGGCGTATAATGAGCAGTTAACTCGGTTTGTTTTTTTTGTTTTTCTTAAACTCGCTTTGTTTTACATAAGTTGAAAACACACAAAAAAAAAAATGGGTTGTTTACATTATGTAGAAGCTAGCATTAAACTCAACTTGTTTGGATTAATTATACATGTATACTGGTCAAATATATATATATATATATGTATATTGAAATTTAGTATCAATATAATCCTCATGAGTGAATATGCACACAACTCATTCAAAGAATAGAGTATATTTAATAGGTTTTTCCACACACAGAAAAAGAAGAAAGAAAAAAAGAACATTGTGAGTGGTTGAGCAATATTCCTAAGGTCTCCATAGTTGATGTATTCCTTTGATTAGTTCTCTTCGAGGTGTGAGTTATTTGTTTACTGTTAAACTCATTCCTAACAAAAAAAAAAGAATACATATACAACATAGAATTTTGAATGGATAAGTTTTAGTTTCAGTTAATAAATTTTTAGTATATATAGTGCATATACACACAAAAAGACCACCAAAAACTGAGAAGGCCAACATAAACATGAGAGCACCAGACAAAATGCAAAGTTTACCCTTTTTCGTATTTATCATCCTATCACAAAGCTTAATGTTTAATGTGTACAGTTCGTCTCTCCATCAAAATTCTTCACATAATATTTTACAAGATTCATATCCATTTCCTTCTGATTTCCTTTTTGGCACAGCTTCTTCCGCTTACCAGGTATTTCCTTTTGATATCTTCTGTGTTCATGTGTTCGTCTTCTTAGAAAGAAGACAAAAAGAATCAGATTTTGAAGTCAATCCTCGAATATCAGTTAAGTTAATGAATTTTTTTTTTTTGCTTTTTGTTTATAATTTTGGTGTAAATAGTATGAAGGTGCGTTCTTAGCCGAAGGGAAAGGATTGAACAATTGGGATATATTTACTCATGAAAATCCGGGTATGTATTGATTCTGGTTTGATTCGGTTTCACTCCGGTTTAGATTGTTACCTATATATGTGAATATCACTATTAGTAATCATTTAATTCAGCTTTTTTTTTCTTGCTTATATTCGGTTGACAATATTTATATCTCAGGGAAAATTCGTGATGAGAATAATGGAGACATGGCTGTGGATCAATATCATCGATTTATGGTAAAAATATTTATCTCATAATAGTTCTATATATGTTATTTTTTTGATTTGATATATTCATTTGAATTAATCTACAATGCTTACAGGAGGACATTCAATTAATGACTTCCCTTGGGGTCAACAGTTACAGATTTTCGATTTCTTGGTCTAGGGTCTTACCAAGTAAGAATTGAGTATTACTTGACATAATTAATTGACTTACTAACCGATGATAATTTCAAACATACCGAAATCAATTATTAAATGAAGAGGTTTGTTATTTGGGAGACAGGAGGAAGATTTGGAGGTATTAATTATTCGGGAATAAAGTATTACGACAGATTAATCGATGCTCTCATTAGTAGAGGTAATTAATGTTTGTCTTAAGCATACTGTGTAACCTTTTTGAGTTAATGAAACTTAAGAATATGACTTACCAGGATTTAAATGTATCCAGGGATTAAACCATTCGTGACGTTGAACCATTTAGACTATCCTCAAGAATTCGAGAACCGGTTTCAAAGCTGGTTAAGCCGGGAGATGCAGTAAGTGGTTTAATAAGATCACTAACTAATTAAACCTACATTACTATAATTCGAATGTTAATGATCTCTAGTTACATCTTTCGAATCTTGCAGGGACGATTTTGGTTACTTGGCTGATTTATGTTTTAAACATTTTGGTGACCGAGTTAAACACTGGACCACATTCAACGAACCAAACCAACAAATAATCTTGAGCCATCTAAAAGGCACATTTCCACCGTCGCGCTGCTCCTTACCATATGGAAACTGTAGTCAGGGGAACTCAGAAACCGAACCTTTCATAGCTGCGCATAACATGATCCTCGCACATGCAAAGGCGGTTCACATATATCGAATCAAATATCAGGTTAGTAATATACCGAACGATATAATATGTATATATATAATCCCTAATATTTCTTTTAGTCTAAAGTCGATAGAAATATGATGCGGTTTAGGAAAAACAAAGAGGGATCATCGGCATTGTGGTGCAAACATCATGGTTTGAACCTATTAGCGATTCCATTGAGGATAGAGAAGCTGCCGAGAGAGCTCAATCTTTTTATTCGAATTGGTATGGTCTCTAATGATTACTAAGACCTACATTTTACATACTATATAGTCTTATATGTTACGTGCTACAATGTATACCAGGATTCTAGATCCAATTATTTACGGAAAATATCCAAAAGAAATGGTGACTATACTTGGATCTAACTTACCGCGATTTTCGAGAATGGAAATGGAGAACATAAGAAAGTCAGGATTAGATTTTGTGGGCATTAATCATTATACAAGTTACTTCGTTCAAGATTGTCTGTTCTCAACTTGTAATGCTGGAGATGGAGCTTTTAAAGCAGAAGGATTTGCACTCAAGTTAGACCGAAAAGGCAATGTTTCCATCGGAGAACTTGTGAGGACATTTTTGTTTGTCTAAACTGTGCAAATTCTAGTACTTTTACATAACCTTTTGTTGATTTTTCTTGTCATGATAGACCGATGTAAATTGGCAGCACATTCATCCTGAAGGGTTTCAAAAAATGTTGAATTACCTAAAAAATAGGTACCACAACATAACGATGTTCATAACCGAAAACGGTACGAGACCTCTAGAGTTAACCAATTATCGGGTCATGTTTCTGTATTCGTTTGAAATGTATACATATTGACCGATGCAAATCAATACTTTCAGGTTTTGGAGACTTGCAAAAACCCGAGACAACTGTTAAAGAACTTCTAAATGATACTAAAAGGATACAATACATGAGTGGATACTTGGATGCTTTGCAGTCAGCAATAAGGTAAAGAGACTATGTGAATTGTGCAAGGAGCCAACTTGGCATCTCAAGTACATTTACTTAAACATTTGAATGAATTGATGTATATATCAAACTGATATTAACATAGATGATATACAATGCATAATCTCTCTAATGAGAGTAATTGTTTTGTGAATTTTTGTGTAGGGATGGAGCAAATGTGAAGGGCTATTTCGCATGGTCGCTATTAGATAATTTTGAGTGGTTGTATGGATATAAGCTTCGATTTGGGCTATTCCACGTGGATTATACAACTCTCGAAAGGACACCGAAACTTTCAGCCTCGTGGTACAAAAACTATATCGAAGAGCACATTAGAAGAAGAGATTATTAGATATAAACACATGCATTGTTTTTAGTTTCTATAAAACAAGATCATCCTTACCATTTTGTGATAGTAATTGAACAGACTTTTTGCTGGAATTTGTTTCTAATAAAATCGAATACGTGGCTTAGTTCCATCTTTCTTAAATATTTTCATATATCTGAATGTCACATCTGATGTTTATTTCTACCCAACTAACGTTTTTCATCTACTATATCATCACAAGTCTCCAAATTGACAGTAATAATTGGGGGAAATTTTTCTGACATAAGAGGTCACCATTAATTTGATTATATAAAATAATGATAAATGATTTATTCACAGTATTATCAAATGTTTAAGTAAATGTATCAAGTGTGCTACCTTACCACACAAAGTAAGGTATAAGCACAACAAACATTTTCTCATATGGGGATAAGAGGTGTGCGTGAGAAACATTAGTGAGAGGTGTGCGTGAGAAACATTAGTGCGAGTTGTGCGAACGTAATTTACCTTTGAAATTATATCTCACCCCCTTTGGAGTAATCTTACATTTGGAGAGAAATCTCACAGGTTAATGTTGGATTAAGCTTGAAAGATAACTTGAGCAGCAAGTTAGATTATGTTTATTTCCTAAAAGGATTAGAAAATAAACTAAAGTGTTTTAGGAATATTCTTAGGAGTTATCTAAGAATAAGGAAATTTGTTTTTCTATTGGATTTAAGAGTTAGCTAATCCATTCTCTATATAAGGAGTTGCAGAGTTGTTGCAAACATTTATGAGTTGAGAGAGAGATTAAAGAGAAGCTTTAGGTTTTGAGTAATTTTCCTAAAGTTAATAAAAGAAGTTGCTTTTATTAGTTCTTGATCTAAGTTTCAATTCTATAATTGGTATCAGAGTCTAGGTCAAGGACAAAGTGAACCTGGAGAAGTTGGATTGGACTGAATGTTCGGTGCGGGAGAAAAATCCTCAAGGTGATCTTGCGATTAAGAAAGTACAAGATGGTACTAAGTATCGCTGTAGGTTGGAATTCAAGAATTATAGGGTCTTTGCCTTAAGGGGGAGATTGTTGGGAATCAATCCAAAGTCCCACATCGGAAGATTATACCAATATGATCTAGTATATAAGTAATGTCCAGTTCCAATTAGCATGAGGATTTCTTTAAAAAAAAAAAGAGAAGCTTTCGGTTTTGAGTAATTTTCCTAAAGTTAATAAAAGAATTTGATTTTATTAATTCCTGATCTAAGTTTCAATTCTATAATTGGCATCAGAGCCAGAAATTTAAAACCAGCAAATATGAAGATCATCGGAGGAATGGGTGATCTCGTCGCAGCAACAAGACCAAAGGAGGGAGGTTCTTCGACATCCATACAATATCCGATGTTAACCAAAGCACTTGGAAGAATAAAATTTAAAGAGATGAGAGATCTCATAGGAGTACAAGACTTGTCAAAGATGAAGTTCAAGCTTTAGGGGTAAAATGTTGGATTAAGCTTGAAAGATAACTTGAGCAGCAAGTTAGATTAAGTTTATTTCCTAGGATTAGGAAATAAACTAAAGCGTTTTAGGAATATTCTTAGGAGTTATCTAAGAATAAAAAATTTTGTTTTTTCTATTGGATTTAGGAGTTAGCTAATCCATTCTTTATATAAGGAGTTGCAGAGTTGTTGCAAACACTTATGAGTTTAGAGTAAGAGATTAAAGAGAAGCTTTAGGTTTTGAGTAATTTTCCTAAAATTAATAAAAGAAGTTGCTTTTATTAATTCTTGATCTAAGTTTCAATATTCTATAGTTAAAGACTACTCTCCTCTAATCACTTCATCACCCATATATAGGATTACATTGTCTTCTACTTAAATGGTCAATTATCAAAGCGCAAATGAACAAAATTAAAGCCTGTTTTTTCTTCTGTTGTTGTTGTTATTATGGTCTCATTTTAGTTATTGTGAATACATTTTTTTATACCAGAATTTTCTCGTGCATGATGTGGACAAATGCCTATTTTAATCGTTAAATCACAACTAAAAATAAAACTAATATGGACTTACAATTTTCATTATAAAATGATTCAAAAGACTTAGCTTAAAATCTAATTTATGAAAAAACAAACTGTATATCGAGTTCGTAAAGTCTTGGTTTATATAAAGTGGCTTAACAGTTGATTACGAAAATTAAAATTTTGAAGAATCTGATAGTTTCACAAATGACAAAAACATGGTTTTTAAGGAATCTAAACTCAAAATTAGACGTCTGGATTCAAAATTTTATGTTTGTTGTAGAAGATAGTTAAAAAAAAAAAAAAAAACTAGATTCTTGTATAACTAATCATTTAGAAAGACCTTAACTGAAATTTAATAGATACCAAAAAATAAAAGACTTTATCAAGCTAATAAATTATGAATTTATACCTCTATATTTGCTTCTTGATCAACTGGATCAGATAAATTAAAATCTTGAAGAGTCAGCTAACTTCAAAGAGGATAGTAAACCATTTGCGAAGAAAAATTGATTCTTTATTTACTTGGAAAGAACAGTTATCACAACTACAAAGATAAGAACATAATTCACGTCGTTTTCACGTTAAGGATCCAATAACTACAAGTAAAGGATATGTTTAAACTCAAATCTCCTTATTTATAGTAAAAAATTGTTAAAAGCTTGATATTTGTAGACCAACTAATTTTAAAATACTTTAACAGAAACATATTAAAAAAAAAAGAAATCACCGGAAACAGTCATGGATTCTAACGGTGGATTTCATGAGGTAGAGAAGGATGGTAAACTATTTATGGCTTATCACCACCCAAAGTACCGTCCCATGCCACAAATAAAAAAGCCCTTCTTCCTCCGCTGAAGTAGCCAGCCACGACTACCCTCCTCAACCCCTTTTCTAATGCCCTCTGGTACGGTGGGATAAGAGCTTCAGTGGTGATATAAACCCTTTTCCGGTCTACTATTCTCCAGAGTGTGATGTCTCTGTAATAGGTGATGAGTCTTTTCATCGAATATTCCATTTACTTTGGTCCAACAATGAAAAATTTAACGTGGATGATAGTCATATTAAATGTATATGCCACGGCTCAAATTTAGGCACATATTATTATTTTTGTGTTCATTGTAAACAAATGTACCACAAAGAATGTGTCGAGTCTCCTATTAAAATCACACACCCTTACCACCCTGAACATTCTCTCCAACTCTACTATCTTGAAACCTACAGATATGAATGTTTCTGTTGTGGAAAAAGTGCAAGCAGACTAGTATACTCTTGTACCATTTGTCAGGTTTTCATGGATCCAGTATGTGCGATGAAACTGATACCCTTGGTTATAGAAAAACCAAAAACACATGACCATCCCCTCACCTTTTTCCCCAGACAAACTTGCTTAACTTGCAACGTTTGTGGTTTGCTGAGAAAAATTTATCCCACCTATGTTTGTCTCAAATGCAATTATGTAGCTCATAATGATTTCATGTACTCCCCACACATCATCAAGATATCACGTCACCACCATCGTCTCTCCTACACTTCTTCTCTTCAATCAAGAGAGTGGTCTTGTGGAGTTTGTCGTCAATGTATTGACGGTGGTTATGGTGCATATACTTGTGACAAGTGTAGTGATTATGTTGTTCGTTCAAGATGTGCTCTAGGAAAAAATGTGTGTGATGGAGAAGAACTTGAAGGTGTACCAGAAGATGATGACATAACACAAGATGAAAGGCTGTTTATTGTGATATCAGAAGGAGTGATACTTCATTTTCTTCATGGCCATCATCTCCGACTCGAGATCAGCATGCTCTATGACGAAAATAAGCTTTGTCAGGCATGTGTTCTGCCTATCTTTGAGGGTAATTTCTATACTTGTATGGAATGTGATTTCATCCTCCATGAAACATGCGCAAAATCTTGCCGCAGAATACAACATGTGTTACATCCTTATCCACTTACATTAAAGCTTGTGAGGCTAAATGAGTGGGGTCACTTGAAGTTATGTGAAGCTTGTTTTCGTTATTTAGGTGGCTTTATATATAGGTGTGACATAGGGGAGTCTCGTTTCAATTTAGATGTACGGTGTGCTTCAGTTTCTGAGCCGTTTGATTACGAAGGTCATGAACATCCATTGTTCCTAAGTTTAGACCAAAATGCATATCCCATATGTCACATATGCAAAGAAGCATGTTTAAAACAATTAAATTGCATCACATGCAATTTTATTGTATGTTTCAAGTGCGCTACTGTGATGCAATTTTATTGTATGTTTCAAGTGCGCTACTATACCATACAAAGCAATGTATAAACATGACAGACATTTTCTCAAGATTTTATGTGGGGAAGAAGTATGTGAGAAAGTTTGGTGTGAGATCTGTGAACGTGATTTAAGTGATACAAATACAAAGGTGTTCTATTGGTGCGACGAGTGTTGCACCACAGTTCATATTGAATGCTTATTTGGTAAAGATTCATATATGAAACCCGGTCAATTTTTAAAGCCTGACTTTAAGGGGAAAAAGACTTACCTTCTACCCAAAAGTAATATTTCTCAACCATTATGCAATTATTGCAAGAACCCTTATATAAACAAAGTATTCAAGATTGGCTCCTACCAGGGCCGGCCCAGAGCATAGGCAAGGTAGGCAACGGACTAGGACATCCAATTTATAAGGGCATATTTTAGTTAATTTTTTAAATATAATAAGTATATATAAATAAACAAAATTTAAAAAAAAATTAGAAAGGAAAAAAATAATAACATAATAAAACAATTAGAATTAGAAAGAGCATATTATTGCCATAATAAAAGGGCAAACAGATTTCCGTGATCATTTAAAGAGCATAATATAGAATTTGTTTAGTACTAAGTGAATACCTACACATTACGTGCGAATTCTTTTTTTTCAATTTTTTCAATTTTTTATATATTTTTATAAAAAATAATATAATCATCACTTATTACTTACTTACTTGTTAATATTTCATTCTAAAAATTTTAAAATATTAATTTAAAATACATATTGAATATTATTTAATAATTTAAAGTTATATTAAAATTAGTAAGTATCATTCAATATTTTTAATTAGTTATAACATAAATTTTTGTTTAATATTTACACAAATATTAATTCATAATTAATTAATAAAAAATTAAAATAAATATAAATCATTATATTAGTTAATTGTTAGTATTTTATTATAAATAATTTTAAAAATTAATTTAAAATACATCTGGAATATTATTAAGTAATCTACAGCTATATAAAAATTAAATACATATCTATTAATATTTTTAATCTGTTAAACATAAATGTTTGTTTAACATTAATATAAATGTTAATTATGAGTCAATTAATCAAACAAACTTTTCATATTCTTTAAGTGCTTTAAAATTTAATATTAAAATTTATTAATTAAAATTTAAGTGATAGGTGTCAACCTCTCCAATGCTGATGTGTCAACATATGAAGAAAGTTGAGCAAACTTTTATATATAAGATACATAATATCAATTATCAAAATAGAAAGAGTATGCCCTTTTTATTGATGTCCCACATCGATGTTGTAACAGCAAAATGGACGATATGAAGCTATATAAATACTCTGTTTTATTAATAAATATAATCAGTTTTTTATGAAATCAACAGTAATTAATATTTTTTATGAAATATTTTATGGTATCAGAGCCAAAAATCCTTTGATCTAAGTTTTTTTTTAGCTGCCGGTGATTGTTATAAAAACACAGAAATTGCTTATCGCATATTGTTGACAGTTCCGGTATCGGTTGCCACTGCTGAAAGAAATTTTTTGAATTTAAAACTGATAAAAAATTATTTGCGATCTACCATGTCACAAGAGCGATTAAATGAGTTAGTTTTATTATCTATTAAGACAGCTATGGTTGAAAAACTCGACTATAAGAGGTTAATGAACGATTTTGCAGGAAAAAATGCAAAGAGTGTCGTATTTCAATAATAAAATATTTGTTTTATTTTTTTTTTATTTTTTTTATAAACTATTTATGGAGTTGAAATATTTTATGAAATTTTAGTTTTTTTATTTATTTTTGTATTGTTTTTTATTTAAAAAAATATAGAAAAGGGCATAATTTAAATTTTAGATTAGGGCAGTCAAAATGATTAGTTCGGCACTGGCTCCTACATAGCATGTTCAGTGAGATGTGTACATGGAATCATCTAATAAGTTATATATCTATCTCTCTACTTAAATGTAATTTATGTTTTTAATTCTTATTTGCCTTCTTGGTTTTTTAAGCTTCGACTCTAGTGCTATAGTATTTTTTATCTGAGAATTAATATATTGGTTTCTGATATTTCATTAATTAGATTTGGGCATGCCAATTGCCAAGCTATGACATAAATTATTTTATTTTTTTTCTTCTCTCCTCATGCTGTAAATCAATTTTACGCCAATGTAATAAATAAATCAGTTTATTTTATTTCTGCATTGAGTTTTCACTCATCCGGTGTTCAAAATGATACTCTTGTTGTACAAAGGAAAAATTTGTTGGGCTCAACAGTAAACTACTATTGGGCCTTTATTGGAAAAAATGAAAATATTTTTTTTAAAGCCAGCGACGTCGTACTAGTATTATCAAATTTCCAAATTCCGGCGAAGATCAGAAAACGGAAGAAAAATGAGTGTTGAATGCAGATGAGAAAGTGAAAGACTAATCTCCTATAATCACTTTCATCACCCATTGATCGAATTACATTTTCTTTTCTCTTCTACCATCGAAATTCTCAATCATCCAAGTCCGATCAACAATTACCGATTTGATTCGAGATTCTCCGGTTTTGATTTCACTCCCCCCGGCGGTGATCGGAGATCGTCGAGATGTCGTGGGGACTGGGGTGGAAGAGATCGTCGGAGAGTTTCCGTCTGAGTCTCAGCTACGGTGCCGATGATCTAAACGACGATCCCATCCGATCGTCGTCGGCGTCTCCGTTGGGATCTCCGACTTCGGTTTCATCTTCTTCGTCTTCTCCGTCCGCGGTGGAGGATCCGGAATTAGGTTTTCGGATTGATTTGGATTGGACGGCGGGAGATTCCGAGGAACAGGTGGCGTTGAGACTGGAATCGCAACTGATGGTTGCTTTGCCTGCGCCGCATGATACAGTGGTGGTTGAATTGAGCGGCGACGAAGGTGGAGACAATGTTGGGGTCGTGATGAGAGTTGAGAAACGAAGGGAGCCATTGCGAGCAGTTACATTGATGAAAGCGGCTGGCTCCGGTCAACAGTACGACGGTGTAGGCGTCTTAACAAGGCTGATGCGGTCTGATATGATGCCTGCAGCCATTCCTGCTCCGGCTATCGACGTTGCTTCTTCTTGTGGTGAGCATTGGAAGACTGTGACCTCGTTAAGCCTATCTGGTTGTGGTTTACTGGTAAGGTTTCCTCAACTTTTCTTGAATCCAAGGAAGAAGATAGGGAAAAAGCTCAATAACTTAGCAATTTTTTCAAGAAAAAAAAGTTTAGTTTTTGCTTGATGTTCCCTTTTAAAATCCTTTGCAATGCTGGGCAGGTAATGCCAGTTGAAGTGACTGAGTTGCCTCTTCTTGAGAAGCTATGCCTTGAGAACAACAAACTGTCAGTTTTGCCTCCTGAGATAGGGAAGCTGAAAAAACTTAAAGTTCTTAGAGTTGACAACAACATGCTTATATCTGTTCCTGGTGAGCTTAACCTGGAAATTTGCTTGTACTTGGAACCATTAGAATTTGTAGCTGATGTTGGTGGAAACTCTTGTGCAGCGGAACTAAGACAGTGCGTTGGTCTTGTTGAATTGTCATTGGAACACAATAAACTCGTACGGCCTCTTCTTGATTTCAGGTCATTGTGGCAGCAGACTGGTATTACGGTTTTTCTTTTTTTTTTTTGTTACAATTTGTAGGAGGCTGATTTGTTAATCGATTAAAATGCAGGGCGATGGCTGGGCTACGAATACTACGGCTTTTTGGTAATCCCCTTGAATTTCTTCCAGAAATTTTGCCCTTGCATCAGCTTCGCCACTTGTCTCTTGTAAATATCAGAATTGTGTCTGATGAGAATCTAAGATCAGTGAATGTACAGATAGAGGTACGAAGAACATACATTACACGGTCTGTCTGCTACTTTTCATTCTGTAGATGTTAAGTTTATATGTTAAGGATGCGTTTCCATGATGCCAGACAGAAAACACTTCCTATTTTGGAGCATCTAGGCACAAGCTAAGTGCATTCTCTCCCCTTATATTCCGTTCTTCGTCTTGTCATCATCCCCTTCTAGCATCTACATTGGTGAAGATAATGCAAGATGAAGGAAATCGTTCTGTTATTGGTAAAGATGAAAATGCAGTGAGGCAGCTTATAAGTATGATAACTAGTGACAACCGCCACGTGGTATGTTGGTTTTTGTTCTCTGCTATGGCTAGAAATAATTTATCTACTTTCTTTTGGGAACAATCACCATAACTACAGGTTTGATAGGTTGAGCAAGCATGCGTTGCTTTATCATCTCTTGCTCGAGAAGTTGGCGTAGCAATGCAGCTGATGAAGTGTGATATAATGAAGCCAACTGAAACTGTTCTGAAATCAGCGGCCCCAGACGAAGTGATATCCGTGCTACAAGTCGTGGTCACCTTAGCTTTCGTATCTGATTCTGTTTCTCAGAAGATGCTCACCAAGGATATGCTAAAAGCCTTAAAATCCTTGTGTGCCCATAAGAATCCTGAAGTAAGATAGCTGCATTTTTGCTCTCCTAATTAAAAAAACAAAAAAACCCACAGCTTCTTGGACTGAGTTTTAATTTCCTCAGGTTCAAAGACAAGCCTTATTAGCAGTTGGGAACTTGGCCTTCTGTTTGGAAAATCGTCGTATTCTAATCACTTCGGAGAGTTTGAGGGAGTTATTGATGCGGTTGACTGTAACACCTGAACCACGAGTCAATAAAGCTGCGGCTCGAGCTTTGGCAATTCTTGGTTTGTTTCTTGTGTATCGAATTGCCATTTTTATTTATAATCTAGTTGGGGATTACATACAATATGTTTCTTCTGATGACAGGAGAAAATGACATTCTGCGACGTTCAATAAAAGGCAGGCAAGTACCAAAGCAAGGACTGCGAATACTCACCATGGATGGAGGTGGAATGAAAGGTCTTGCAACGGTGCAGATTCTTAAGGAGATTGAGAAGGGAAGTGGCAAGCGTATACATGAACTTTTTGACCTAATATGCGGTACATCAACAGGAGGAATGCTAGCTATTGCTCTTGGTGTCAAGCTTATGACACTGGAGCAATGCGAAGAAATTTACAAGAATCTAGGTGTGTAGAAATTCCATTTGAGCTGAACAGATTCGTTGAAATATTGGCTCTAGAGTTTACTTTGGATGACTATTCTTTAGGAAAGCTTGTTTTTGCTGAACCTGTCCCAAAGGACAATGAAGCTGCAAGTTGGCGGGAAAAATTGGATCAGCTATATAAAAGTTCCTCACAAAGTTTCAGAGTTGTTATCCATGGATCCAAGGTATATACAGTTCCTTTGGTCTATTCACAGTTGACTTCTTCTGTAGGGACATAGAAATATAGAGCAATGCTTTATAGTTTTTGTTTTAAGGATTCATCATTTTGATGTTGTTTACTGTCTTGGATTTTAAATTTAAGATTTCCTTCCAAATGTCCGTTTAGGATTGTAAAAATATATGCCTGTAGACTACCGATTAGCTCTTGTTGGTTCCTACGTGACTTAGTCAGAATTTATAATACACTGTCTTGCAGCACAGTGCAGAGGAGTTCGAGAGACTGTTAAAGGAAATGTGTGCCGATGAGGATGGAGATCTACTAATAGAATCAGCTGTGAAGAATGTTCCAAAAGTCTTTGTCGTATCTACTCTTGTTAGTGTGATGCCTGCACAGCCATTTATATTTCGGAACTACCAGGTACTACACTTCACTTTTTTACTTTGGGCTGATTCCGTATTCTCTGTTATTTTGCTTTGAAGGGCTTTTCATTTTACGTTCTCCTGCCTATACTTCTTTTTGTGTATCATATGCTCTCTTTTTCTATTTGCAGTATTCTGTTGGAACACCGGAAATGTCATATGCATTTTCAGATCATTCAGGCGGCAGTACACTAACTTCATCAACTGCCAGTGATCAAGCTGGCTACTACAAGCAAAGTGCTTTTATGGGAAGTTGTAAGCATCAGGTTTGGCAAGCAATACGAGCATCATCAGCTGCTCCATATTATCTTGACGATTTTTCAGTCGGTACAAGTCTACCTTCTTTCTTCTCTATCCTTATCCTTGAGACTTTGTGGTAAGTTTTAACGCTGATACTGTTTACAATCTCGTTTTTAAATCACTTAAGATTCATACCGCTGGCAAGATGGTGCGATAGTGGCAAACAATCCTACAATTTTTGCCATCAGAGAAGCACAACTTCTATGGCCTGACACAAAAATTGACTGCTTGGTTTCGATTGGCTCTGGATCTGTACCAACAAGGGTAATTCCCGTTTTTTCTCCTATTTTTGGATTTAGTTAATGATATTGTAGCAGCAAATGGCAATTACAAAATATAATATTGTGAAAAATCTCTATGTATATGAGAAAAACCACTGATATACATAAGACGAATAAAATCTGGCCGTCGTTGTAATGTTTGTCAATGTTTATCTAACTCCCTTGTAGGTACGGAAAGGTGGATGGCGTTATTTAGATACTGGGCAAGTATTGATAGAGAGTGCATGCTCAGTGGAACGGGTTGAAGAAGCTCTAAGCACACTACTCCCTTTGTTGCCAGAGATACAATACTTTCGGTTCAACCCAGGTAATACACATTTTATTTTACAAAATGCAAGAAAACTCTATCCTCTTAAACACCTAGGAAATCTTGAGTTTTCTAATCCATGGCAATTATAGTAACACAAAAGTGCTTGGACGTAGAATTCAGTTAAGCCTGTACATATATGGTCTATGCAGTTGATGATCGCTGTGGAATGGAGTTGGATGAGACTGATCCAGCAATCTGGCTAAAATTAGAAGCTGCAATTGATGAATATATACAAAGCAATTCCCAAGTATTGAAAAACGTCTGCGAAAGATTGACACTCCCCTTCCTAAACGATGAGAAATGGTGTGAGAATTTGAAACCTCGTTTTATGAATGGAAAGCTACCAAACACCAGAGGTATTCATTTCAAACAATTTGCCTTTCATAAAAACCTTCTCAAACTGTTAGCTTAGTTAATTATTCTTTTTCTGGACAGTAGAGAGCAGTCCTTCTCTAGGATGGAGACGCAATGTTTTACTTGTGGAGGCTCAGCATAGTCCTGACTCAGGGAGAGTAAAGCATCATGCTCGTGCACTTGAGTCGTTTTGTTCAAATAATGGAATAAAGTTATCTTCACTACATGCTACTCCTGGAGGCCCGAAACCATCTCCAGGAACTGCTTTCCCCACACCATTTAATTCTCCTCTAATAAGTGGAAGCTTGCCCCCGAGCCCACTTCTCTTCACTCCTGATCATGGCCCACAAAAGTTTAATAGGATCGACATGGTTCCGCCACTAAGCTTGGACGGGTGTCATGCTGGAAAGACAGTTTTGTCTCCTCCATCATCTCCTCCACGACTAAGACAACTCTACATTCCATTACGACAAATGCATGAAAAGTTGCAGAATTTGCCCCAAGTGGGGATCATACATCTAGCGCTTCAAAATGATTCTAATGGTTCGATACTGAGGTTAGTCCAAACTTTTCAATTTCCACCACAAGACGCTCAGGTCTAAAATGTTGATTCTAGTTAACTGATACATTTTTGGTTTCTGGTTTCATTAAGTTGGCAAAATGATGTATTTGTGGTTGCTGAACCTGGAGATCTCGCTGATAAGTTTCTCCAGAGTGTCAAATTCAGTATATTGTCAGTCATGCAAAGCAATCGCCGAAAGGCTGCTTCAATTCTTTCCAACATCTGCTCAATCTCGGATCTGGTGCGTATCAAGAAATGCTTCCAGGTTGGGAATATCATCCACCGTTATATCGGACGCCAAACCCAAGTAAGAATATGCTTTCATTTCCCAACTTCTTTCTGTTGTTAATATGATAGCTTTGCAGAGTTTATTTTTGTATGTAATAATACTTGTTAATTAATGTTAAAAGGTGATGGAAGATGATCAAGAAATCGCAGCATTTATGTTCCGCAGAACTGTCCCTTCGACACACCTAACTCCTGATGACATTCGCTGGATGGTAATGGCACTTGACCATTGTACAACCAAAAGAACTGTGTGATAGTTTCTTGTTAACATTTTCTTGTTCTTGCATTCCTGTTCATTTATGCTTTTAGCGTATTTTTTGAAATAGGTAGGAGCATGGAGAGACAGGATAATAATCTTCTCAGGAACATATGGACCAACACAAGCTCTAGTTAAAGCCTTCTTAGACTCTGGTGCCAAATCTGTGATTGGTCCTTCGACAGAACCGCAAGAGACACCTTTAATCACATCCCAAGGCTCGTCTGAGTACAACATTGGAGAGAATAGTAAGTTTGAGATTGGAGAAGAAGAAGACGAAGAAGAAGAGGAAGAGGAAACGGAAAGAGAACATACGGAGCCACCGACACCGACAAGTGATTGGGAAGATAGTGACCATGAGAAGACGAACAGAGACGATGATAAGTGTTGTGGTCTTTGGGATGATGAAGAAGAGGAAGTGTCTGAGTTTGTTTGCCAGTTATATGATCAGTTGTTCAGAGAGAATTCAAGAGTTGATGTTGCTCTTCAAAGAGCTCTTGCCTCTCATCGAAAGCTCAGGTACACTTGTCATCTTCCCAATGTATAGAGAGGAGAAAGACAACTTCTTATTAAATGAATCACATACCTTTTTTGACCCGAGGGAGGAAAATTTGAGAGAGAAAAAAAAACAAGAATATATGTTGTTTCTGCAAATAAAGGTATCAAAAATAAGTTTATTATGCTTCTAAAGAGGTACGAGATATAATATTTTTACAATTTTGGTAGAGAGTTCTCTTTATATGCCTTTCGGAATTCGATTACAAGGATTAGATTTGTAATTGTTCCTTTCTTGGAACGTGAAATTATGAACGTAATTAAAAGATTAATGAAAAGAAAGAGATCAAGATTCATCCGCTTGAACCAAACAAAAAATGTAAGTATGAGATTAATGATGTAAGCCACATGATGCTTTCGTTATCCCTCAATGCCATATTACACCACATTACAAAAGAATTATTTGCATCCAATTAACTTCGAACTCTAGCCCTAATTAGTTTTCTTGGGTTTCACGTTAGTAAACCAAAAAAAAAAAAATGATTTGAAGGATTGAAATAGAGTCTTTTTTTTTTTATGAATCAGATGATGATGTCTGAGCATCGGAATCAAGATTAGTGGTAGTATTAGTATTATTATTATCAGCAACCTCAATAGGTTTAGCCAAGAACTCAAGTGCTGTGACCACATCTCCCATTAATGGCCTAGTCTCTGCTTCTTCTTGCAAACACATGGCTGCAATCGCTAGAGCTTGATGCAACCCTTTCAGAGGATAATTCCCTTCTAGACTCGGATCAACAATCCGCGTAAACATCCTCCTATCTCTCAATAACGGCTCAGCCTACCAAAAAAACCAAAAAAGACTTCAAATTGGTTTCTTCCTTCTCAAGCAACTACAAATACTACCATAAACCAAAAGACTAATCACAAATTTGTATTAGTGTATTAGAAGCATCAAGTTTGTGTAAATGTACCCAAGAGATCAAGTTTTGTTCTTCGGTTGGTCTATCTCCATCAATAGCTCGTCTTCCTGAAATGATCTCAAGAAGGACAACACCAAAGCTATAGACATCGGATTTAGCAGTGAGCTGACCCGTCATTGCATATTCTGGAGCACAGTATCCATACGTTCCCATGACTCTAGTGGACACATGATCTTTGCCTTCAGTTGGTCCAAGCCTAGCTAACCCGAAATCCGACAGCTTTGAGTTGAAATCCGATTGTAGCAATATGTTTGAAGCTTTGAAATCGCGGTAAATCACAGGAGGATCTGCATAGTCGTGCAAATACTCAAGCCCTTTTGCTGCACCATGCACTATCCTCATCCTCGTGAACCAGTCTAGACTTGGTGCACCTTCTGGTAAGTCTATGTAGTGAAGAAAGATTAAAACTTTAGATTACAATATGCAAGAAGCTTTAGTTATATCAATCATGAAAAGGGTCAAAACTTTTTACCGAATAAATGATCTTCCAAAGATCCATTAGGCATGAATTCGTAAACAAGGACTCGTTGCTCGTCTTCTACGCAATAGCCAATGAGATTGACAAGGTTTGGATGTTGAGCCAGACTCAATACCATCACTTCTGCAAAGAACTCTCTTGTTCCTTGCAACCCATTCCGGTCAAGCCTCTTTACAGCCACCACCTAAACTTCTCATATCATTCAATCAAAACACACACAAAAATTAGCAACTATTTTTCACCAAATGGGCACGTATATTAAGATTTGATTGAGACATTGAAAAAGGACCTGGTTTAGGCTGGTGAGGAAGCCTTTGTAGACTCTACCAAAACCACCTTCTCCAATCATACAGTCCATGCTGAAATTGTCGGTTGCAGCTATTAGTTCCTTGAATTTGAAGATATTGCCACAGTTCTTCACGTTCCCATATTTCTTTATCTCGTCCGTTATGTACTTCTGCCTGGAGCTCCCTACATAGCCATAACCATTTTTCAGAAACCAAATGATGATCAAAATCTTGACAAGATTGATTTGGATGAAGAAAAAAACGACGTTTATGAGAGTACCTTTTCTGTGTGAGCGAAATGTGAAGAGAACAAATAGTTTACGGCTATGGCCTCTATAAGCAGTAAGACCTTCATCGAATGAATCTCTAGGCGAATTAGGTCCGAGTTGTTGTGGATTGATGAAACAAGGACAAAGTTTCATCATTTTCTTTTTTTCCTTTTTTGTTCTTTTTTGTGTTCTTGATTCTTAGAACAAACAAATCCTTTTCGATGAATCCCTTAAGGAAAGATTTGATCTTGTCTCTTTGATCGATCCTTTCAGATCCAAACCCTGTCTGGGCAAAATGAATCTGAAAGAAAGATCAGATCTTTCCCAGGAAAATGATGTTGCATGACAGGAGAATTTGAGGGAGGATCACAAAGTTTTGCTGTCTCTTGTTGTTATATATGAATGTTCCCATGTTTGGATTCTCTCAAATTTGGATAAAAGGATTTTCCTTCTATTCTTATTTTTAGGGTTTTCTTCTCTGTTCGTTTATTTAGAAGAAGCCAACGCGTCTGCTTTTCTAACAAACCTCAAAAATCAACTCTTACTCCAAAAAAACATAGTTCGTGGTAACCATGTAAAGATTAAACATCCTTCTTTACACACATAGTCATCATACTATATAATATAAACAACATAGGAAAGATATTAAGATATTAATTACATAAATAGATAAATACACACACAATTGACAATTAAGACAGGCTAACTTCGTTTGATTGCTTTGACCAATCTTACAGATACCTTAATCCCAAAATCAAAACTGAAAAACCTATGAGTTCATGAGTTTTCCTTGATTATGTCTGAAAAATCTAACATGGGCCAAACATAAAACAGAATTTATCTATAGCTACCAAGATGCTCTCAATAGATTACTATAGTCTAAAAATTATTTCATTTCTGACACAAGTAAAGATTTTTCATCTGAAGAGAAAATTTGTAAACTTAAAAATACCAAAATCTTTGATTTTATTGAGGCAATGCGGCTTCGACTTCATTCCACAACTCGACATTTCTAGTGAACTTCTCTTTTACTTGCGCAATGAGCTTCTTTGCTTCTTCGACTTTCGAATCCTTAACTAATCCGTTGACAAGCGATTTCATGATACCAAAACTCGGAACCCAATTCTTCTCCATACTCTCCTTACAAAGACTCAAACCCGTCTCAAAGTCTCCACCTTTACACAAGTAATATATGAGAGTGAAGTAACATTCACTATCAGGCTTACATCCTCTGTTCACCATAACCTTGAACAACTTCTTAGCCTCATCTAAATCACCTTCACTGCAAAACCCATGAATCAAATGACCATAAGTAACCGAATTCGGCTTCATCCCTGAAGACAACATCCCATCAAGCAGAGCCTTAGCCTCTGCAGATTTCTTCCTTTTGCACAAACTCTGAATCCTAATGTTGTGAGTCGAGACACCGACACTAACCCCACGCTCTTTCATCATTGCCAACACTTTCCCAACTTCTTCGTTCTTACCCTCGTGGTAGAATCCAGCGATCATGAGACCGAAGCTAGAGCTCGTCGGCTTTATCCTTTTCCTCTCCATCTCTGCGATGATGGAGTAAGACGAACTAGCAGACCCGGATTCACAAAACACTTTGATCATACGGTTGTAAGTTTCGAGATCAGGTTCGATTTTGTACATCTTAGGCATCTCCATGTAAACTCGTTTCGCTTCCTTGTAATCCTTAGCTACTAAGCAAGCAAAGAGAAGAGCGTTTAGGGATTTTACCGTACGAGGGATCTCAAGCTTCTCGAGCTCATTGAAGATTCGTAAAGAGTGGTCAAGCATATTCGCCTGAGCATACAGAACAATTGCGTGAGCGGCGAAACGCTCCGATCTGAGATCGGGTCGGGTTTCGATGAACCCATCGAGAAGATTTGTTACGGCGGCGAAGTGTTTCTTCTCCGCCAGGTTCTCGACGGCGGCGGAGAAAGCGATTCGATCGATGTGGCAATCGGGAGTGAGAGAAGCTGCGCGGCAGATTTCTAGGATTCGATCTGGATCTTTCTCGGTTTTGAGGAGAGAAAGAGCGGCTTTGCTCTTCTGCTTGCTAGTGAGAGGGGTTTTGGAATCCGGCGAGAGGATCGATGACGCGGAGGAGAGAGAGCGGATTTGAGGCGACGGGTTGAGGTGGCGGAAGAGAGACGCCGATGAACGGATTCGAGAGAGTAACGTCATTGATTCTAGGGTTGTTGATGTTGCAGAAGAAATGGAGAAGAAGAAGACAGCGAAATGTGGAAGAATGGATTAGGGTTTTGGGAGAATTATGAAATTGGGATTTTCTGTTTTCTAAGGCGTATTTAGAATAATCTAAGCCGTTGATGATTTTTTTTTTAAAGTCGTGACTATGTACGGTTGCGATGAAATTTCAACGTATTAAAAATAATCAAAAAATTAAGATCCAAATTTACCCGGGGTTTTGAACCCGACGTGAATCGAACACGCAACCTTCTGATCTGGAGTCAGACGCGCTACCATTGCGCCACGGATCCGGTGGTAAAGTAGTGCTCGTATTTGTTATATAACCAAAAATAATATTGTGTGTTGAATTTTGATGAGTTCTAGACGTTGATTTGTATTTTGTACATTGTAGTAACTTTGTAATCTTCATTTACGTTGGTAACATACATGCATTATTTAACTACGCGTTTCTCAAGAGACACAAGGTAATATAATATTAAAACCTTGATGAGTTCTTTTCCGTGATTGCCAAGGCACAAGGTTTATGCAAATGATCTGCTCATCTTTCTTCCTTGTTACCATCTTTGCAGCTCTTCTCACTATACCTCTTGCTCCTTGCTGATCCTTTTTTCTAGACTAATCAAGATTCATCATGCTCATATATCTTCCAAGCTATCATCTACCTAGTTTGGAAAGAGAGAAACTCGGCCAGAAGCTTCTCTTCATATCTCCTAGAATTCTATTTCTCTTGTATTAGACACCCTTGATGTTCTTGACATCTTGTTCTCTGATTTGTTTGGGTTACTCTTTTCTGTTCTTTGTATTGGTGTAGAACAAGTTGTTCGCAACATTGTATAAAAATTTCAAAAAACGATATAAATCTTCACTTTTAGATCCAAAAAAAAACTCGGAAAGTCGGTTATAAATCTTCACATTGTTTTCTTTTTGGTGTGAGAATTCTCAAGATACGTTGATGTTTTGATCAAAAAAAAAATTCTCAAGATGTTGCTCAAGAAAAGAAACTAAGAAAGGAATCCTCTAATAAAAGGAAACACATGGTAAGAGTGTCTGACGAACAACTTTTGTCATGTCTTCTCTACTCTACACGACAGCATGGGAACTTAATTGTCATTGTAATATCGAATACAAATTTTTATCATAACTCTGTTTTTAATTATATGTTTTTGTACTCAAAGTGTGAAGAAGCTTTACTCATGAAATTGGATTCACTGTCTTCGTTGTGTAACTTCACTCATGGGAATAAGAATTCAATCACGCAGTGACAGAAGATCTTGTTTGAAAAATTTAGAGAAATATTTGTGATATAACTTAGTGGTCGAGGAGTTAGATTATAATAAAGTATGTGTAAGTGTGTTTTAGCTTTTCGTATCTATAATTAGGATACTCGTTTCAACTAAATTAGGAGACATGTTCAACTAAATTTCGTATGCAACATGTTCATAGATTATCTGGATTAAATTCAATGGCGGAGCAAGAGTTGTTTTTTCATTGGGGGCAATTAGGAGTGTATATGATTTTATGAGTGAAAGACATTACTATTAGGTAGGCTTTGATAAATTACACCAATTTAAAAAGATTTATTGGAGTCATTCGCCCCCAACTTGATTCAAGTGGTTCCGCCTTAAATCATATTTTGTGGAATTTCTACCATGAATTGTTCACAGATATGAGATGGAAGAGTGTGGCAATTGGATCGCAGTTTGAGAAGACTGGTCTACTAAAATAAAGGTTGAAAACCCGGGTCCGATTAGATTTATCTGAACCGATAAATGTACCAATCAAATTGAACCGGTCGAAACCGGTCAAAGTATCAACCGAATAATCGAACCGGCCGTCTTCTCATTCATTTTGTGTGCTCTAAAAAGCTCACACTTTTCTACTCCACTCCACTCAATTTAGAGATCGAAAAGGAAAAAAAGCAAAATCAGGCGAAACAAAAATGATGGCTAGGGTTTGGAGATCGGGATCTTCTTCTTCCTTTGCTGCTTGTGTTAGAGTTACCCGTACGAGGTTGATTCATCGTCGCATTTGACTTTTGAAAATGGAATCGTTTTGTCTCGCAATGAAGTAGGCCTTGTTTTGAAAGTGTAGCCTTTACCAAAATTTATGTCCATGCAAATACACAACCCATTATACATTTTAGCCCACTAAGCAAACCGTTTCTTAATCATTCACCTGAATATTTTTTTTTCGTTACAGCCTTGAAAGTTGAAACTTTGAAGAATGACGACGATGTCCGATCTTACCGACGATTTGTTATCGGAAATACTTTCTAGGGTTCCGATAACATCTCTGAGATCAGTTCGATCAACTTGCAAAAAGTGGAACTCTCTATCCAAAAATCGGGTCTTTGGTAAAGCAGCAAAAGCAGCAGCAAGGAATCAGTTTCTAGGGTTCATGGTGATGGATTCTAAAGTTTGTTCCTTGAAATTCGATCTCCAAGGAATCCGCAGCGACGGCGATGAATTCTTCGACCCATCTATAAATCCAGTAAGTATACTTGAACCAGTCGAGATATCTAAGGCCTTTCACTGCGACGGTTTGTTGTTATGCGTTACCAAAGACAGCTCGAGGCTCTTGGTGTGGAACCCATATCTGGGGCAAACCAAGTGGATACAACCCATAAACGATTTCCACAGATTCGACAGATTTGCTCTCGGGTACGATAAGAACCGTAATCACAAAATCTTGAGGGTTTTCGATTTCTATCAAAGCGTAAACAGCCGCGATTTTGGCTACGAGATCTATGGTTTTAGCTCTGATTCATGGAAGGTTCTTGATTTCACTCCTAACTGGAAGATACCGTCTCATCAACGCAGCGTGACTTTGAAGGGAAATGCTTATTTTTTCGCTCAAGAGAAGATAATAGTGGAAGGAGAAGTAACAACAGAGACTGAAGACTTTTTACTCTGCTTTGATTTCACATCAGAGAGATTTGGACCGCGTCTTTCTCTGCCGTTTCACTCTGGCGATGAAGAGACTGTGACTCTGTTCTGTATCAGAGACGAGAAGCTCGCTGTGTTACATCAACGGTGGGAGACATGTGAGGTAATGGAGATTTGGGTTACCGATAAGATTGATCCCAATGCGTTGTCTTGGACCAAGTTTTTGGAAGTGGATATGAGTCTGCTCACTGGTTTTCCTGTTGACCCTTTTGCTGGAAGTTTCTTCATTGATGAGGAGAAGAAAGTCGTTGTTGTTTTCGATCTAGACAGTAATGATGAACCGACCGAGACATGTCGTCGCTACCAAACAGCTCACATCATTGGAGATGATGGATACTTCAAATCCGTGAATATTGGAGAAGTTCCTCAAGTAGTTTTTTTTTTTGCGTGTGTTATCATTCAAGAAAGATTCTACCAACATCTGTTGCTATCTGCAAATAAACATTTTCTCAATTTTTATGTGACAATTCCTCTGAATACATTCAGTTGAGCATCCTGTATTCTTAGTTCTACCTCATGATTTAGTGCATTCCGCGATCATATAATCATGTTTAAGCCGGTGCAAAGTTGTGATCATTCTTTTTGCTGGTTTGGGCTATACGATGCTGTAAACATCTTCATGCGTTGTCATAACCTTACCGTCTTTTTAGTCATCAAAGGTGGGAGGGAAAAGGATAAAATGTACTGGACCATATGTTTAGGACTAAACTGTAGTAGTGTTCTTGTCATGGTAAGTTTTGGGTGGAAAATGTTGAACAATTACTTAATCTATTCTATTAAACCAGAAGTACTTTTAGTACTTGCTTCCAAACACTCCTATTTAAAAAAATATATATTTGGAAACAATTTTAAAATTATTCTAATTTATTACAATATTATTTAAAAAACATATTATCTTTTATATAAATTTAATTCCGAAAAATAGATATTAGTTTAGATATTTAAAGATTTCCTTAAATATAGGTTATATTTAATTTAAAATTCAAACTATTCAATTTTTGTATTAAATCTAATTCTGAATAATAGATATTAATTTAAATTACTTTAGATTTCCTTAAATATAGGTTCATTTAATTTAACATTTGAAATTCAAATAATATTTTCAAAATAACATATGATTAACGAATATTTTATTGTATTTATTTAATCATATTCAACCAGACTTAAATTTCATATATTAAAAACTGATAAATATTAATATTATATAGTAATTTGATGGATGAGTTAGGTTTTTTTTAATAATTATGGTCTTATGCGGTTTGAGTTATCAAAATATGCAAGATATTAATATAAAAATTATTTCAAAATGAGTAAATATTGACGGGTTAGAATTATAGTTTTATAACCATAGTTCTTTTCGGACTAATAGAATGAGCGAGCTATATATGTTTTATAATAACATTTAATTTTCAATTAAGAGAATGACCGGATTAGAATTATGTTTTCATGATCGTGGTCATAATAATACTAAAAAAAAATTTTAAATATATATAGATTGTTTATGTGTAAATTTAAATTCACATCATAATAAAGCTCATAATTTATATTAGATCGATATATATTTAATTAATCAATACTCTTATTCTACTAATATACAAATCTATACTATTTAAAGTTAAAACATGATAACAAATTTCTTGATTTAAAAAATAAATAAATAACAAAACAAATTATATCTAAACAAAAAAATAAATACAAATTATATTAGAAAAAAACAAAATATTCCCGTGCGTCTTTATTCTCGTGCGTCCGCACGGGGTTAGAATCTAGTTACTAGTTAACTTTCCTGCGTTTTGTGCGGACTAATATAATTTTCATTTGATTGTTTGAAAATCTAAGAGTAGTTTGGATTCATTTGTTTTTTATTCTTGAGTATATTTGTTTGTTAGATTTTTTTGCATTTTAATGTTGGAAGACATGATCGTGAAAACAATATTGAATAGAAGAGAGAAAATAAAAACATAGTAGTATCCAAATAATTTAGTTTAAATAGTTTTGAGATCTTTTGATCACTATTTTACGTATTTTAGATATAATTTTTTGAAGTACTGTATCAACTTATTTGATTTTGATCACTGTTTTATGTGTTTTAAACATCACAAATACCGTCATTCCATTAGTTAGTTATACTTTAATTTTTTTTGTTCTATTTTTTTTTTAATTTTAGACAACATTTCATTATTTTTTAAATAGATTCTATTTTTGTTTTTTTATATATTTTTGTTAAATTTTTTTCTAAATTTTAAAAACATAAGAAATGGTAAATTCTAAGAGATATAGAAGATTCTTTTTTAAAAAAAAAAACGTTTTTGTTTATATTTTTTTATAAATTTCAGTTTTCTAAAATTTTAGAAACGGTTTAATTTGACAGCAAAATTAAGCATTAAACTGTTATAATTTAGACCGGTTTGTTTTAAGTTATTTTTGACACATCATCAGTTAAGAATCAATTAAAAAAGAACATGTAATTGCAAAATGGAGTTAAACAGTTTTTTTTGACCGAAACTCATTCTGGAGCTGACACGTAAGCAAAAAACTGTGAAACTCGTTGTGAACATGACACGTAAGCAAATCACTACACAAATAAGTATATAGATGTCTTAAGAAGCTAAATTAAAGAGTAAAATTGTGATTCTGATGACATCTTAGAAGGAAAATGCTGCATTAGTGCATTGTCTTACTTCACCGTAAAGTAAATTTGCAGATACACAAGGCTTGAGTTTGGAACTTGTCAAGTACACTGATTTGGAGGTTGATGCTGAGGCGCCAAATGAGTGAGTACCTTAAGTGTAAGCTTGTGGACCAACAGAGAAAGGTATGTCTGCTGTTGAAACATGAGGAGGAGGCCCTTCTGATTCGCAACTTAGGACCTCAAGCAAAGTGGGTCATTTGCATACGACCAATATCAAGAATATTGAAGATCCTTTTTATCTAAGGGGATCTTGTGGTAGAATCTGCAGGATAAGCTGAGTTTGCCAATGTTGTTAGGCAAAGCAAAACCAATGTCTCACCTCATAGAACTTAAACTGAGAGTCCTTTGAAGCATCTTTCACTTTTGCTGTCAAAGGATGATGATGACACAAGAGGACAAAAGCTTGGCCCATCTCCGCTAAGCTTGGGAAGATTTAATTCGACGGTTGGTACGAGTATATGAATTTTTGATGATGGTTGGATTCATTTATAATTGATTGGACCATTTTTGTTGTCAGGAACGATTGGTCCTAACTCCTAACTCATAATAGTATAACACTTATTAAATCGATTATGCATTTTAATTAGACGCGTGAAAGATGTCTTCCATGTATAATAATCAACGAATACAAGGGAACTAACAGAAGCTGGTAAAATTGTGTTCCAAAAAAACAAACTCACTCTCTTTAATGTAAAAAATATTCACTCTTCAAACTAAGAACAATTTAGATTTGTTTCCTTTATATCTGGCATAACATAAACCACCGACAAAACCTCAAATTTCGGAGTCATTAATCAACAAAAACAACATACATTTTTCGATTGAAAAACTAAGTGTTTTTATCAGTTGGCATCTTTCAGGTGATCCTCTTCGACCAAATTTCGGGAAACAAAAATTCTGATTTTTGTTTGACATCAAAATTCCCAAAAGTGAAAAAGAAACAAAAAAATCCTTGTTTTTTTTTTCAGTTTTTTTTACTGCTTCAGAAGCGGCTCACGGCTTTCTTCCCACTGGTCCAATCGACTCGAAGCTTTCTCCACCTAAATTACAAAATTAAATTAATTGTTAAGTACCATATCTATCCTAACTCATACCAAGATCTGTACCTAACACTTATTTACAAAAACTTTAAATTACCTCTTTATCCCAATCAGTTCGGAAGGTGACAATCACTAAGATTATTGTTTGCATTAATGTACCACCAATCATACCTGTCCATATTCCCTGCACCAATCAATTATATATACACATTTATTATTACATTTATCATGGTTTGTTATGTACATTTATGTAAAATATATATATATATATATATATATATATTGAGATTTACCTTTGCTCCCATATCATAAGTGAAACCTAGAACGAAACCAATAGGAATTCCCACAACGTAGTAACATCCAATGTTAACGTACGCCACAAATGCTTGCCATCCACATCCAACAGCCACACCTATTAATATTTTGTATATTAAAAAAAATTAGTTAAAAATTTAAAATTAATAATTAAAACAAAAATTTTTGATTTGATGTAATTATAGTGTGTTTTTTTACCAGACAAAACAGGCTGAATTCCATTGAGGACAATAGTGATGGCTAAAAAGGGAGATAAATCCGCAACAGCCTTAGCCACTGCAGGACTATCCGTAAACGCATAACTGATCACATGTCGCCACGATAAAACCACGACGGCTTCGAAAACCGCTAGTAAGAATGATACTCCGGTCGTTACTACGGTGGAAAACGCAGCCGCCCTTGGGTTTCCGGCTCCTAATTCATTGCTTACTCTCACACTATACATAAATTGGAAAAAAAAAACATTATTATTAATAACCACAAGAAATAAATAAAAATCCTATTTCGAGTAAATGATTTTGAGAAAGATGGAAATTTTAATTTTGTTACCAACCTTGCAGCTGCGTTGAATCCAACGGAGACCATGAACGAGATTGCTGAAATTGACATGCTGCAAACACAAAAAAAAATGAGTGATTGAGTGAGATTTTTGGTTTGTCCAAGCACATAAGTGCATGTCGTTTTTACTAATTAGAAACCACACGCAGTTGATACCCTTAGTAAACGACAAAGAAAGAGCTTCTACTGACTAAGATAAAGACGTGACGAGAAACGAGTCGTCTTTTTCGACTCTTCTCAGAAAAAGCAATCAAAAAAAGCACTTCAATTATTTAACCGTTATTTAATTACATCTGTCTCACGTTAATCCGACCAATAATTTGTCCTATGTTTCAGATTCATCGTTAATTTGTGAACATAGAAGAAATCTCCTTTAAAAAAATATCAACTTGACGAGTATAACAACAAAAATTACTACTAAATTAAACATTTTGCGCTAATCACTTTTGTCTTAATCTTCAATTAATTTAAGTAGATTCTCAATTAATTTTCTCTTTCTCCATGTTATTATTATCACGTCTCAAAAAAGGTCAGAAAATATAATTGTGATTAATGAGATTTTAGAATTATCGGGAAAATTACCAAATAGCGAGAGAATCCAAAGCGAGCTCAGGGTCTTTGAGAAGTCCGGCGAGCAAAACCAGAATCTGAGAGTACCACGACTCTAAACAGAGCATAACGGCGGAAGCCGCCGATAACCGGAAAAAATCCCAGAGACCTTCAAAAGCTTTCCAGCTAAAACCTTCCCAAGTCCGGCGACATCTCGGACTCATCTTAATATACACAATCTGAGCCACGACGATAATCCACCACGAGAAGCTATGGATCAAAGACAAAGCCAACAAACCAAACCCTAATCGATAAACGGCGATCCACGACAAGACGAGGTGGATGACGAGAGTCGCGGCGGAGATGTAAGCGCTCGGCGTCACGATGCTCTGCGCTTGGAGAAATTTCTGGATCGGGAAATTGAAAGCGTAGGCGAAAATCACCGGAATCATACCGTAGACGAAAGTCGAAGCCATCGACGCGACTTGCTCAGGCTCGCCGAGCGAATTCAAAAGCGGATTCGAGAAGATGAAGAGAAGCGACATCGGAAGACAAGTTAAAATCAAAACCACCGTCGATCTCTGGAGGTAAACGCCGAGCATCTCGTAACGATGAGCTCCGTGCGCTTGTCCACATAACGTCTCCACCGCACTTCCCATTCCAAGCTACTCACCGGAAAATCAACAAACCAAAAAAACGATTAGATTCGGTTTAAATCTCAACGGATCCGGTTTAGAAACCGGTTAGATTCATAAGGAATTTTGGGATTTAGGGATTTTACCAGAAGACCGTAGGTGAACATGTTGAATCCACTGTTGCCGAGTGAAGCGGCGGCGAGTTGGGAGCTGCCGACGTGGCCGGCGAAGATACGAGTGAGGATGGACATTCCGTTGTTGATGACGTAGACGAAGATCGCCGGAGCGGCGAGGTGGAAGAGGAACTTCATCTCTATCATCATCGCCAGGTAGATTTTCCGGTAATACGGCAATTCTCGGTCCGTTAACACTGTCTCGAGCCGGTAATCGATGAACGATTTAGACGATTCTATCAATGGACGGTGGAGATTTTCCAACGACTCTGAATTCATTTTTATTTTTTTTTTTCCTTCGTTAAGAATCTTTCTGAGAAAATTTGTTGGGAGATGTAAAAAAAAAAAAAAATTCGAAATCTGGGAACGAGGATAGTGTTTCTCTCTCTCTATCACTCTCTTTCTCTCTCTTTCTCAAATTTTCTGAGTATTGAGTCTGTGCCTCTCTGCAACTTTGGGAGAAGTTATATAATGCGAGTTTTGCCGTGTATGCTGACGGGAAATAATAATATTTAATTTTTTATTTGACTACACTTTTTTTTTTTTTTTTTTTTTTTTTGTTTAAAGTAAAGGTTGGAAATGAAGAAACGAGGAAAGGCTGATTAAAATATTACTAAACGAGGCCAAAATCAGTAAATCACACATAAGATGTGTCCGACCAAAACCATTTGAGTGTAATAATAGGTAATATAAGTTGTATTTAAAACCTTTTATTTTTTTAACCATTTATTTTTTTTTCATTTGTAGTAGCCGTATCGATTTGTATATTGGTATAACGACGTTTCTTGACCCTTCCAAATTTTAGGAAAGTTAAAAACAAAAAGTTATTATATTATTTTCCTAAAAATTTATTCGAATTATTGAAATTAATTTCCATCATGATATAGTAGATCCTCTTATGATTCGAATAATCAATTCGAAAATGATTTTTTTTTTTTTAATGTAAGTTTACGAAAATGAAAGATCGTAAATCACATCCAGCCTATACTATCTTTGTTTGGCTTTGACAACGTCTCTCACATAGGTTAAACCAGATAATTACTATCAGGGTTAGTTACACTGCACAGTTAAAAATTTCAGATGAATATAATGTGCAAATATATATTTAAAATACCAAATTTTCATTTGTAGCCATAATATTGATTAATTGCCTAAAACTTTTCTTGACCAGTCCAAATTTTAGGAAAGTTATTATATTATTTTCCTAAAAACATTTTTGAATGATTTTATTACGATATCAAATGATTCCTACCATGGTTTTTAATTAATTCGTTGAAAATTCACAAAAGAATGAGTTTAAAAAAAATGAAAGTGCGGATATCATATCCAACCGATATTATCTTCGTTTGGTTTTGACAACAATTTTCTCAGAAAGATTAATTAAAACAGAATTATTATCAGCGTTAATTACTTTGCACAGTTAAAATTGATGTATCAAAAATCAAAGAGCTTGAAGATTCAGTCACAGTACAATTAGGAATCAGAGTATCGATGTTAAATACCTTGAATCTGTGGTGTTCATGTCAACTTCCAAGCTTCAGCCATCATAGCAAGTTAGTCTTACAAGTTAAAAGTTATTTAAGAATATCATTGTTTTAAAAATAGGAAATTCTGATATTTATACCATTGATATTTTTCTCTAAAAAGATGATATAATATTTGCTTTTGACAAATGTGGATTTTTTTCAAAACAATTAAGTATTTAGCCCGCGACTTGCGCAGGCCAAAAGATTTTAAAAACAAAAAAAAAAAAAATTTATGCTATAAATTAAAAATAATTAAAAAAACTATTTAAAACATAAAAAATCAAAATAAAGTTAACTAAAAAAGTAAACAAATTTCAAAATTAATTACTTAAAAAATACTTTATAACTGAATAGTCCACAAACTAATTTAATTAAGATAATTTCTAGTTTTTCTTTTCCTATTTTTTCCTCTTCATTATTTTTTTTCTTTCTTCTTCATATTTTTTCCTTATTCTTCTTTTGTCCATATTTTTCTTGTTTTTTTTTTCATGTCTTATTCTTCATTTTTTTTTCTTCTTTCCATATTTCTTATTCAAATTTATCATTCACATCTTTTTTTTATTATTTAACACATTCGTCTTCTTCGTCTTTTTTTTTTTTTTTACGGTTTATTCTTCTTCTCCTTATGATTTTTTTTTCATATTACGTACTCTTCATACTTTTTATGACTCTATATCTTTTGAGGTTGAGAAAAAAGATAAATACACATTTCAAACTTAAAACCCTCCTTAAAAGTGTGTTATATTTATTGTTAAATAAGAAAACTGCATTAACTTTTGTAGCTTGCTCCTTTCGAACAATCAAAACTGTTTCGGGGTAATCAATCTTAAAAAAGAGCTTAGACATATACCAAAAAAAGAAATTCTCAAAATTTCTTAATTTTGCTAATAACAAAAATAACAAAAATTAAACAAATATCAAAATAAGACTTTAAGTAAAATGGAGTCTCCACAAAAGGGTTGTGACATTTTCACGGTCCCAAGATTTGCAGATTTTTGTATATAATTTATCATTGATTTCTTTCACATTGTTGTGCTAGAATATTTATTTGTTACCATATTAAATAATTTTAAAAATAAAGAAAATACAAAATTAGATGGAATTGAATCCTTCCAACATACAAACTTAAGAAAACTTAGAGTTTTAGCTACTTAAACATAAATTTTACATCTTTTGTGAAACTTAAGCAAGAGAAGTTTTACTCTGATCCAAAAACAACATTTTATAATTAACAGTTCAAACTCAACTGGAAACACATGAGATGAAAGCACTCCACACGAAAAAGATTTCAGTCGGAGAAACGTGCAAAAGATCAAAGTACAAATAGTTACATTTTTCTCCTGTCTTTGCCCATAACTAAAATAAAGGAACCAGAAACCAATATCAAAAAATATCCCAACACTGGACATAAGAGACAAAACACACACAAAGATCATTCAAATAAAGTGATGTTCGAATAAAAAATAGTAATTTTGTTCATATATCATCATTATTATCAATAGAACTAACTTTGAGAGTAAAAATATGTCAAGTGGACTAATATTTTTGCTGGAACTAAACTCTTTGTTAGCTTGTTTTCTTTTGTTCTCGGCAGCAACAGGTGGGGTCTTGGATAAAACACAGACCACCATGTTCTGCACCTTGTTCACCGAAACTTCTTTTGAACTGTTATGATTCATCAGATCAAGTAATAATCCATAATCAGATGATTAAACCTGTGTTTTTGTATGTGTTCTTTTAAAGTTTCATGTACCTTCCAAAAGTTCAATCAGCTTGGCAACCTTCACAAGAACCAGGTGAACTCACGTTCATTGCCATGAGGGATTTCGACACCGTATGTCCTATAGACCATTATGAATCGTCACCAAAAGCCTACACCACAAAACAGAATACATGATCTTTTTGTAATAATTTTTTAAAACATATAAAACGCTCTTATCTGACTCCGAAAACTGGTTCGCTTCATGACCATAATCTATGTCTTCATCACCAGCAAATGAAATCTGTTGCATCGCAAGATGAAACAATAAAACGCGAGCACCTAAGAAAGAAAAAACAAAAACAATCAAAACTTAAAACAGATAAGAATCAATAAAAAAAAAAAGCTCGACTCAGCCTAAACTAATAAAAAGAGAAAGAAAAGTGCACCAAAACTGGCTAATATATAAAACATAAATATGATAGATAATAAAAAAATCACAAATCTAAACCAAAAGCACAAAAAAGAAAATATAATATTACCCTTCGGTATAGCAGTAAACTAAACAATCAACGATCAAGAAAGTCTGGCTAAAACACCACCTCCTAAACAGAAAAAAAAAACATCAAACGCTATTATTAGTAAGAAGAATTTATAAAATATAAATATAATCTAACTTCTAATATACATCAGAATAAAATATATTCCTGAAAGAGCTATAAAAGGGAAGACACAAGGAATGACCTAATATATATAAAAGAATGTAGATCTATATGAGCTAACAGAAACAAATATAAAACAAAATTAACAACCGAATAGAAAATTAGAAAGCACAAAAACTATTTTTTTAAGAAGTCACAAGATCACTAATGTGAAACACACGAAAAATATAGCTTACATGATCACCAAACATTACAACCGTGTAAGTGAAGAAAAAAAATTGGTTGAAAAATCTTTAAAATTTATGCAAATCGGATAATTCATATATTTTTTTTATTAAAAAAAAATATCTAAGTATTTATCAAGACTTACTTAAAGATTAAGTGAATAACATAACTATATATGATGATTTTTCATTTTTTAATGTTTTTTTTATAATTCATATAAATATTTGTTTTTAAAAAAGAAAACAATATCTAAGTATCTATTAAGTTAGATTTACTTAAAGATTTATGGAGTAACATAATTATATATGATAATTTTCGATTTTTAATAATTTTTTATAAAAATTAATTTAAATTTGTTTTTAATAAAGAAAATAATATCTAAATATCTATTAAGTTAGATTTACTTAAAGATTTATGGAGTAACATAATTATAAATGATAATTTTCAATTTTTAATAACTTTTTCTAAAAATTAATTTAAATAAAATTAATTTCATTTTTTATTAAAAAATCGTAGATTTTATCAGATTGTGATAAAATCATGTATTTTGATTAGATTTAATATTATTACAATCTATATTATAATCATGATTTTAGTTGTAAACAATTTTTTTTTAAAATTAAAAATATTTTTAAGGAGGGGTAAAGGGTAATTAACCACTCTGAGATTCAATGAGAAAGTTTTATAAGAAATTTTTACTTCGCTTATAATATATATGATTAGTTTTTTTATAAAACAAAAACAAATTGTGAAAGTCTGTTAGGTTATTGTTTGACCAATACTTCACTAATGCTTATGCACAATAAAATATGAGATTTGAATCACAGAGAATTTAATTTATTAATTATTGGAGTATTACTTATACAGATTAGTAAAAATAAATTTATAAAAAAAATTAGTATGAAATATGTAAAACTGTTTGAGATATTCGATAAAATTGTTCGTTGTAAAATTACAAGATAACAATTTTTTTATAATTTGTAATAGAATTATAAATTAATATTAACAAAAAAATGAAAGCAAAAATTCCAGTCATGCATAAAAATGTTTTTTTTTTCAAAGAGATAACTTGACCATTATAGCTGTCCCAGTTTATTTACCTTTATACTAAATATATATCGTTCCTTTTTATAATAATAATGCACTAAAAATATAAGTACAATTATATTAATATATTGATCATTGGAGACTATATTGTTAAAAGTAATTTCATTTCATTTTTATTATGTTATATTATTCATTTGTAATCTATGTATTGTACACTGTAGCTTATAACTGAGGATTTTTGTAAGTACTGTAATTTCAATATTGAAAACAATAGTGCATACCAGTTAGTAGAA